ATACGTTGTTGCCAAATGTGTTTTCCAAATATTTGAACTTCCTTTTCACCCTACTGGAGGAAGTTTTAGATGCACACAAGGATTTGATATTAGGAAGGTCCCATTCATCAAATTTATCTTCTCCAGGTGGAGTACTGTGGCTATGTTTGCAAGCCTATTTGTGCTGTAGTCCAGGACTTCTGATTTAGTTCTCATGTTGTCTCTTATGGTTTTTATGATTTTGGGTTTTACCCCTAGGGCTCTGACCCACTTCGTGTGTGTATGGGGTGATAGGTGGATCCTGTTTCAGTTTTCTATAGGCTGATGTCCTCTTTTGCCAGCACCATTTGCATTTCCATATTTATTGGGTTTTGTTTCCTTGAGAAATATGAGTTGAGCATAGCTTGATGAGTTGACTTCTGGATTCTTGATTCAACCAGTACCATGTTATTTTGAATGCTGCAACTGTGAAATAGATTTTTAGTTCAGAAAGTGAGATGCCTCCTACTTCATTTTTGTCTTTCTGAAGAGCTTTGTTTGTTCTGGTTCTCTTTTCTTTCCAGATGGAACTGGAAATTGCCTTTTTTATCTCCTTGAAGAATGAATTTGATGTCTGAATTGGGATTGCACTAAGCCTGTGGATTGCTTTTGGTAGTATTGTCATTTTCACTATATTGAGTTTTCCTATCCTTGAACAGGGAATTTCTTCCATTTAGGTAGGTCTCTTATTGTTTATTGTAGCAGTGTTTTTTTAGTTTTCCTTATAAAGATTTTTGTGTCTCTAGTTAGGTTTATCCCTAAGTATCACTATTTCTACTTTAATTATTTAAAAAATACACAGAAAAAGAAAGGGCACATCCAGAGTCATCCTATGAAGTAAGTAAAACTCTACCTAAACCAGGCAAAGTAAGCAAAACCCAATACCATGACCACATCACAAAAAACCCCAGAAAACAACAAAAAGAAAACAAAAAAAACCCCTAAACCCTCCAACCCCCCCCAAAACTCAAAATGAACTATAGACCAATACTTCTAAGGAAAATAGATGCAAAAATATAAAATTATTTTTAGTACTTATGGCAGTTAACATAGAAACTTCAGAATTCTTCCAAAAAGAAGCTTGTTTTTAGAAAATCCCATAAAAATGAAGGAATACACACTTCTGTGAATACTGTGTTGACTATTTCGCTGCTTTGGGTAATAAAATACTTTGGTCAAGGTGTAACCCTTTGAAAATGGGGCAAAGCAAGTTATCAACTTGAAAGGCTATCCTCACTTTAGTCAAAGATACTCAGTCAAGATGTGACATGGATGACAGAGGAATTTAGAAAACAAAGTAATGGCAAATGGGCTTTTCTGCTAAAGCAACTCTATCTTTAAGGATTGGGTGTTTTATACTGTATAAGTACAGATATTTGCATATACACAGTCAATTCAATTACCATTTAATTCAATTATTGTTTTGTTTTGATGTATGGGTTGATGGTTTGCTTTACCATCAAGATCTTGTGACCTTCACCCGCTATTCTTTGGATCTGTGTCACTTAACCACTTCACAGCAATCCATAAAAGGATTTGTCTATAGACTTTAAATCTTATACTCTCCTATTTCCTTCATGGAAACAAATTTGTAAACTAAATATATATATAGGAAGTATATTTGTGTACAAAGACTATATAACAACTTATTATGTTTCCTTCCAGAATAAAACATGCAAATAACATAAATAACATCTACTGTCTTTAAGGATGGTAATAATAATAGTAGCTGCATGACTTGGATTCCTAGTGCAATGTCAAAGCATTTACTTGCTAACCAAAAAAGGCTGGCAGTTTGAACCCACCAGCTGTTGCAAGACACCCTAGGTTTGAACTGTAGTGTCAGTGAAGGATATTTAATAGACTGTAGACTGCCAGAAGAACGAACAAATTATTCTTGGAAGAAATACAACAAGACTGCTTCTTAGAAGCAAGGGTGACAAGACTTGGGTTAACTGTTTTGGATATATTATAAAGGAAAAGACAATTGCTACAAAAGGACATCATGTTGGTTAAAGTGGAGGGGCCAATGAAAATGAGAGAAATCCTGAAAGAGATGGTCTGACACATAGCCAGGAAAAGGCACTCAAACCAACAGCCAAGAATCTGGCCCAGGACCAGGCAACATTTTGCTTTGTTATATGTAGGTCACCATGAGTTGGATCTGACTCAATGGCAACTAACAACACGGCCAAATTATGTCTGAGATTCCTTCCAGCGCTAACATTTTATGATGGGAGAAGAGAACACAGTCAATTGAATAACACATCCCTTTTCCCCTCCCCGCCCAAGCATACATATGAACATAAGGCCTCTGATTACCCACCAGATTCATAAAATAAAACAAAAGACACTGACTCTTTTAGAGTCACAGCTTGTATTCCACACAGGGATTTCTGTGAATTTATGTCAACCAGGTCCTTTGCACTGTGCAATTTGCTACCAATCCCAATCCCATCAGGTATCACAGTATCTTCTCTACTGGCAATGTCACAATACAGACTTCACAGTATATTAAAGGGCTTAGACATGTGAGGGGTCAAAGCAGCAGCCACAGCTGATGTCTGGCTGATCACTGAAGCTTTTCTGCTTGTCACTTGTCAGCTCTTTGAGAAATGTATTCATGACCTGGGGAGGTTTTCCACTTTCTCACACAAAAACAACTGCACTGACCAAACACGGTAACCGCTCTCCAAATAATGTAACAACATGATGATTTTCAAGTCTTTGACATTAAATGAGAATACCATTTCTGGAATTTGCACTACATGAAATTTCACGGAAGTGTGAAATGTTCTAGGTTATGTGCTTTTTCTTCACAGAAAACATATATAGAATGTTTAATATTGGAAAAAACATACACAACAACAAACAAACAAACCCCAAACATCACATTGTTTACACTGAAACTTAAAGAAGTCAAAAGTCTTATGTTATTGTGTACCAAAGAGTCGGAACCGATAAAAGCTGACCTTCTGATGGGTTTTCAGAGGCTGTTAATCTCACAGGAGAATGCCTATCCTTCTCCCGTGGAGCCTCGGAATGCATGTCTTAGGGATTGCAGCTTCTTGCCACTAGGCCAGCAGACCTCCCTAAAAGTCCTATAGCGCATACTAAAAATCATGTGCTTACTTGACTCTGATACAAAACAGAAGGTAAATGCTGGAGAAAGACAGGGATAACATTTTTTTTTTAAACCAAAAATATTGGAAATTAAATGAGCAATATTTGTTGTGGCATGAGGATTTAGGGTATAAATGAAAAAGAGCACAGAGTCCTTGAATGGTGCAAATGATTATCACACTTGATGCATTAGAAGCTCATGCCTGCCTAGAGGCACCTGGGAAGAAAGACCTGGTGATTTAGGCCCGAGCATAACTCTACTCGAATACTCATGAGACTGTCCTGAATCAGAATCTACTTGATGGAAGCTCTGAAAGAAATACGCAGAAGAACAAAGTGAAGTTTTCTGTCAGTGCCACCCCCAGGAGAATCATGGGATACATACTGGAGTGATGCATGAAATCTATACTGTCAAAGTTTTGTCTAGATAAGAAGACTGTTCTTCCTTCTACAGACTTTTTTTCCTGTTGCCATCAATCTGATTCTGATTCACAGCAGCCCTCTATCAGGTCTCTGAGGCTGTAAATCACACAGTAGCAGATGACCGTCTGTCTAATTTCCCAATGCAGCCGCTGGTGAACTCGAATCACCTGAGACAGGAGCCTTGCATTAGCAGCACACTTCTGTACACACTACACCACCAGAGCTTCCTCTCCAGACAGCAGCGAGCTGTCTAGAGCACAGCAACAGTTACATAATAGCCTTGCCTCCACTCCTTCCTGGTCTAAAAGATAAAAGGTACATTTAACTCTGTGGTATAAACAGCATTATAATTTCTCACTCAAGAAGTGAACATAGTTTGAGGAAACAGTTTTTTACATTCCAAATGAAGTAGAAGAGATTTGCAACTTTTCATGTTTAGAATTCTGCAAGGGAAGGTTTCTATATATTTCTGTGTTATTGAACTTGCAATAGAAGTGACTGCCATTAGGATGTCGGCACAAAAGCTGCTGAGCATCCACGAGGGTCGGGCCTCTAGAAGAAGGGGACCCGGTCACACCAAGTCTATCTGCGGCCTCACAGCTTCCTGTGAGGATTTCTTGTCACTATGGATTGACTCTTGTTCAAAATTCAGGGCACGCCCCACAGTACTTCATCAGCACATGAACACATATCACTGATTCGACATGATGCTCTCTCGTTGTAAGAATGAGTATGTGTGTACATTTATCTATAAAGGCCCTCGTGGCATAGTTCATTGTGTGTTGGGAGACTACCCAAAAGATTGGCAGTTCAACTCGCTCAGGTTCTCTGTAGAATAAAGATATGAAGCAGTATTCCCCAGTTAAGATTCACAGCCCCAGAAACCTGGTGAAAAGTTGCCATGAGCCAGAACTGACTGAATGGCAGTGGATTTGATTTTTAGTACAAAAGATACACAAGACACAAAATAATGATAGCCTGTACCTTCCATTTGTATCTACACACGATAATTTCTCTAAAGGTCATGAGTTGGGAGTAGGCCTATGCTATTGAATCACACACACAGCACCAATACCCAATCAGAATGTATGAATCAACTGATTTGAGCCAAGTCCTTCAGTCTCCATAATATTCTGAATTTCTTTCTGAAATCAAGAGAAGAGCTGGCTAACATATTGGCTAAAATATAACAATAAAGCATGATTCCTATTTTCCTTCGATCTGTGAAAAGTATCATACCCCATTTCTTTAAAAGCTCCTGAGATAAAGTAAATGAGCTCATCATACGGAGGCAATCAATCAATCAATACCACGTATGCATGAGGCGGCTAACTCTCAACCTAATGGAGAAATGTGCGAAACATTAACTACAGGTGGTGTAAGCAAATGGATATAGCTCATCAACCAGCGTGGTTTTTCTTATGCTTGACACTTACCTCAATAAAGAAGATACTGGCTGCTGAAGTTGGATGGTGATACATATAGACTGTCACAAGAACAGCTGCAGCTATAATGAGGACCAGGATGAGAATTCCAACGATGAGGCCGGCATGAAGGGAACCCCCTTTCTTCTCAGCTGCGCTGTCATCTGTGGAAGCTGAAAGAACAGCATGCCTGTCAGGATACTTGTGTATGCCCTCTTCAAGTCTGTTTATTAAAAACATATATATCTCCTCAATGAATCAAGTACCATTGGACCTTATTTCCAATGCCGCTACAGCTTTCATTTTTCTTTACATCAATGTTAGAGGCTTGGTGCTCTTTAGATGGGGTAATGAAAAATCCATGTCATTAATGATTAAAAGTATATGTATAACTGATTTCTTGGTCAATAAGGAAAATTAATGCTTTTATATGGAAAGTCCTGTGGAGGAAAAAAATATCTAGCATTTTAATCAGCTATATAGAAACTTAACTTTCATGTTCTCATTAAATTATCAAAGTTACCTGCAGGAAAATGATCGATTACATTTTTGAAGGGCGCCTTTCTCATTTTCTTTTGCAACATTTAAATTGAAAAGGACTGAACATATTTTCTTGGGCTACTCAAGCATTTTTCAGAAAGTGCATAAGCTCAAAGGATAGCTTCCAAAATCTGTTTGAAACTGAACTGCTCTTTGAAAGGGTAGCAGATGGATGTTAAATGACCCTCAAGTAGTTTTATCACGATCTAAAGGAAGTCCACAACTTGTGAAAATATTCCATTATGCCGCAGGCCAATGTTATTTTCTTTAACCATACTGAGCTCCTTTCCACTGTCTGCAATGCAGTTTCAGAGAGTGAGGAAAGAGAAATTAAATTTTCAAAGTAATAGCTATCCTGCTTAAAGTCAATCAACCAAGTAAAACAAATCTCTAGTCTCCTCTGGTTTTAAAATTCTGTAATCTTTGCTGATTACTGAGGCTTTCTGAGGACATCTTCTTAAATTATATGCAGGAGGTAATGGTGCCTCAGGGCATATTATGATTGGTATTTTTGAATTACTAGAAAATTCTTTGAGAGTTATAGAGGTTCTAGAACAGTTGTTCTCAATCCTTATGTCTACGTTAGTTTGACTCTTTTTTGGTTTAATCATCATTCTGTATTTCAGAAAATTGTACCAAGTTTTCTAATGGACAACTGAGCCAATAATACATTTTTTACTTTTATTGTGTTCCAAGTACAAGTTATATAGCAAATTAACTTTTCCTTTACCATCTATACATAATCTCCCATACGATTCAAAGCCTTCAAAAATCCACTGGAGGATCAGTTATGAGTTGGTTCTGATTTGACAGCACAAAATGCTACCTGAATTTAAAGACCATCTCAAAAAACAGCTTTGAGGACTTAAACACTGATGAGTGAAGATTAGATTAGCTGTGGGAGAATTTCAAGAATATCACCCATGAAAAATTCCCAAGTCCATTACAAAGATAGAGGAGGAAGAAAAGACCAAGATAGATGTCAGAAGAGACTCTGAATATTGCAATAGAATGCGGAGAAGCCAAAACAACAGGAAGCAATCTAGAAGGAGCTGAATAGAAGATGCCAAAGGGCAGCTTGTGAGGATAAAGCAAAGTATTATAATGAAATATGCAAAGAGCTGGAGTCAGATAATAAATAGGGATGAACTCACTTAGCATTTCTTCAGCTGAAGGAACTGAAGAACAAATCCAAGCCTTGATCTGCAATACGTAAGGATCCATGGGTAAAATGCTGAATGACCCAGAAGCCTCCAAGGAAGATGGAAGGAATACACAGAATCACTGTACCAAAAAGTATTGGCTGACACAGAAGAATTTCATGAAACAACATATGATCAAGAAGCAGTGGTGATGAAGGAGGAAGTTCAAGCTACTCTGAAGGAGCTGGCAAAAAACAAGGCCCCACGAATTGCTGGCATACTCACTGACATACTTCAACAAATAGATGCTGCCCTGGATGTGTTCACAAGGTTGTGCTGACGAAAACTACCTGGCCAACTGACTGGAAAAGATCCATATTTACTCCCATTCCAAAAAAAAGGTGATCTTACAGAGTGTGGAAATTACTGAACAATATATCACAACAAACTTTAGCTAACACTGAGAAGAATGGGAATCCCAGAACACCTGAATGTGTTTATGTGAAACCTATATTTGGACCAGGAGGCAGTATTCAGAACAGAGCAAGGAAACACTGCATGGTTCAAAATCAGGAAAAGTGGATGCCAGGGATGCATCTTATCTCCATATCTTTTCAATTTATATGCAGAACAGATCATCCAGGAGGCTGGGCTCTTTGAGAAGGAATGTAGTATCAGGATTGGAGGAAGACTCATCAATAATCTGTCTTATGCAGATGACACAACTTTGCTTCCTGAAAATGAGGACCTGAGAGGTATTTGCTGCAGAAGGTTAAGGACTACAATGCCATCTACAATATAGATTGAAGCTCAACATCAAAAACCAAAGATTTTCACCATTAGGCCAATAGGCAGCATCATAACAGATGGTGAAGAGATTGAGACTGTTAACAAGTTCAGCTTGCTTGGCTCCACAATCAATACAAGCAATACAAGCAGAGAGGAAATCAAAAGATGAATTGCATTGGGAAAATGCGCTGTCAGGGACCTCACCAGAATACAGAAGAGCAACAATGTCAGTCTGGGGACTAAGGTGTGCCTGATCCAGACCATGACCTTCCCAATTACTTGCTATGCATCAGAGAGCTGGACAATGACTAAGGCTGATAGAAGAAAAATTGATGTCTTTGAGTTGTGGTGCTGGAGTAGAATATTGAATACACTGTAGTCTGCCAAGAGAAAAAACATACTCCACACTGCCCTGGAGAGTATGAAGCTGTGCTGCTCCTTGAAGGCAAGGATTCTGAAGCTCCCTTTGCCATACTTTGGGTATGTTGACAGGAGGGGTCAGTCCTGGAGAAGGATATCATGCTTGGAAGGGTGGAGGGAAAGCTCAAGAGAGGAAGACTCTGGGATGAGATGGATTGACTCAGTAACTGGGGTATTGGGGTAGGTGTGTCAAAGACAATGAAGTTGGTTCAGGACAGGGCAGGGTTCAGAGCTATTGTACATAGGGTAGCTATAAGTCTCAGAAGACTCGAGGGCACATAACAAAAACAACGAATATACTCATAATGAAATAATACCTTTCCAACTACCTCTTTGTAATTTAATTCTGATCTCCATAACTCCTTCTCTGTATCTTCCTTTAGTAATATTGTGCTGATCATCCTTTTATTGGATATGTATGTTTTCAAGAGTTAATATACATTATTTATTGTTAAGTGCTGGGGGCATATTATGAAGCCTGTTGTGTTTATCAATCAAAAGGTTAGCAATTTGAACCCATTAGACACTCTGGGGGCGGGCTCCTCTTGCATATTACAGCCTTGGAAAACTGATAGAGGGTCCATGTGAGTTGGAATTAATTTTATAGCAGAAGTTTTTCATATGTTTGTTATCTGGTTTATCAGTTTTACATTATTTTATCTTTTTTGTAAACAAAAACCAAACATGACATTATGGGAATGAGGAGTCAATATAAGTTAATATTAGCTCAGATAAAACAAATAAACACTTTTCAAAGAGTGAACTGGGAGGGGGGTAGGTTGGGTAGGGGAAAAAGTGAAACAATGAATGAATGGAAATCCAAAGTCTGTGTAAACTTTCATTAAAATTAATTAATTAAAAAACAGTAAGAAAAAGAAAAGACATAAAAGCATCATTTATAGAAGGATAACCAAAACAAACAAATAGACTTAGGCTAGCTACAAAAAAACAAAACGAAGAAACATGTCTGCTCAATTATTCCTGCCCATCTTTGACTTTTGTTATTGTTATTCACTCTGTCTGAGACTAATAGTTGGTGATAAGTAATCCTCTAAATCTATTATAACTCAAACCCCTACCAGTTTCTCTTATATAACAGAAAATGCTTAATGAAGAGAAAATAAAATTTAAAGAGTAATTCATTACTTGAATGTTTCTTTTGCTATTTGTCAGGCATATTCCTAAGTGTATCAGTTAAATAACTCTAAGAGATAGATATGTACTATTATCATCATCATTACAATACAGATGAGGAAACGAAAACACTATAAAGAGACCTGGGGTTCCAACACCCCATGTATTCAGAGTCTGTACTCTGAACTGTTGATCAATGTACACTGAGCCATTCATTAACATATACTGCTCTTTTCCTCTACTGTCATCTGGTGAGTTCTTTTGACAAATAATTCTACAAATAACTTAGCAATTTCAAGCAGAGGCAAATCAATTTTAGAAATGATTGAAAAATGGACTTTGTGCCTCCAAGAGGGGAGAGGTTGTTTTAGTTCTTGATTGCTTCTCTGTGATGTGGGCATTTAATAGGTGACCAGGGATAGACAGTGAATGTATGGAAATCCAAAAATCTCTGTAAAATGTTCACGAAAATTAATTTTCACAAAATTAAAAAAATTAGAACTTTAGTTCAAAGCATCTCATTAGAATTGTTATATCAGGCTAGAAACTAACCTGAAAAAGTCAATAATTTAAAACAAATTTGAATAAAATAGCTCCAGAAAGAAAAAAAAAAACAAATGCTGTTTAAAATATGTTACAATTACTTGCAACAACCACTTCTCCAATAAAAATTAAATAAAGGTATAATAAATTGTTTTATCTCTCTGAGGTTTACGTACTTTATATAATGTGGACAATCATTTTAACTACATAGTAGGGTTGCTGTTGGGGAATAAACAATTGTTTTATGAAGAGTATTGAGATAGTATCTATAACATAATAAGAACTTAATAAATGCTATTACTTTTTTTCTACAGCTGCTGTTGTGAATATTATACTATCAGATTCTTGATACCATAAAGATCCTGGCAAAAAGACAGCATAATGATGGACAAGGTCCAACAGTGATTACTTTTATAAAACATAAAGCTTGAGAATGAATGGATGAAGCAAAATGTAAATGTAGAATGATGTGATAAACAACGTATATGAACTTCATAAGCAAACCAATATAAAATTGTGATAGAACAAACAAAACTATGCTTTTGTCTCTAGTATTTGCTACTTTTAAATGCATGACTTAATTCCTTCATATGATTGTTATCAAG